CTGATCATCTACATTTGCCCTCTTACAGCACTAAACTATGTTTTCTACCTTTATCTTGCATCTACCTACCACTTCAGCATTTTATTAAAAATAAAAATAATAATAATAATAAAGGGAGAAATGTGGGATCAACATATAAATCAAGTATAAAAATCAAATGAATATTCATATTTGACCTGATTGTTTATAGTTCATAATGCGTAATCAAAACCGAAAGTTTCTGTGATGAATGCCTTTGTACTGTTCACCATGTAAGAACTTATTCACTATGTAAGAATTCTTTCACCATGTAAGAACTTGTTCGTTATGCTTCAGAAGATTGGAGACTGACAAGTTAGGCTTGAGATAGATTAATGATTGTAGATTGGGCATTGACCCCCCCTATACTGAATTTTATTGTTGTTAACAACCATTTGATCAATAAATATGAGAGATGCCCTCTCAAAAAAAAAAAAAAAAAGAATCTGGGGCCTAACACACTACAGAGAAATGACCAACCCTAAGAGCCTGAAATGGATTCCACACATCATGGAAATGGTTTCCTACCTAATGTGGAGCCCAAGGTGAGACAGACTGTAAACTAACAGAGACCTTGGAGCCAGATTTGTGACTCTCTTCCAACCAAATACATAGGATCTCACAGAATGTATTTTCAGGTAGCTTCGCCTCATTTCTCCTGCCATCTTTCCTTCCCTCCCAATTCCTTCCTTGCTTTTTTTAGGTCCCCTCAATTACTTTGTGAAACAGTAAAACTGTATGTGTGCCTAAGTGCATGTTGCTCTAATGGATCCAAACAAAATGTGTCAAATGAGAGGACAGGTGGTCTGTGCTGTGTTCTGCCAGCAGAGCTGCAGGAGCAAAACAGCAATAGCTGAGGTCTTGTCTCCAGGATCCTATTGCTCTTTGTTCTATGTTCTCATCTTTCCAAACCCTTACCCTGCTCCCTATAGGCCTGCCTTCCCCAGACAGTCTTCTGTGCTCTAAAGTACACTGCAAAATCTAGCCTGTTGTCATCATTTCTATCTGAATTAATTGTCACTGCAAATCCAGATTCCCAGCTTGTCTTGAAAATTCTGAAAACAATGAGCCCCCTGTGACCCAATAGCAATGACAGGGAGCTGAGAGACGGTATCTTCTTTGGTTGGGGTGGTGTGTGCCCTTCAACTGGCCTGTCACAACCTAACCTGCTTCATTTTTCACTTCCTCTCCCTGTAGACTCTGTTCCAGTTCTTTCCACTCCCCACCATGAAACTTTTACTGCTCTGTGTACAAAATCAGCGTGGCTAAACTCTATTCACTGACTAGTTTAGCCAATCCATCAAACTAGTCAATGCTAAACTGTTTAATAGGAAGAGGTTAACTCCTTGACTTAAGACCTTGGAAGAGAAGAAAGTTATTAAGGAATGACAATCAGTGAACTGCTTCCTGATGGCTCCTCTCCCAGACCTGCAGAGGCTGACAACATACCCTGTAGACTTCTTCGAGCAGCAGCCTGGCACAGTCCCTGCCGAGGTCCTCTGGAAGCACAGCTGCTCCCTGGCCCTGGGGATTGGAGGCCAGCTCCGCACTGAGGAAGGTGCCATTGGTGGTCTCAGCGACCAGTGACAACCCAAAGCCTGGAGACCTGGGAAGTCAAAGGACAAGCACTGAGTAAGGTCAATGAAGTGGAGGGTTCACATTCACCAGCAAAAGGAAAGAAAATACAAATCTTTTTAATGGTGTTTCACCTGGTTACTTTGGCCTTATTAGGGCTCCTCCCAGCTTCTACTAGAAATATATACAACTTAGTGAGGGCACACATGGCAGAACCAGAGGAGTTGCAAGTCTGCACTGCTTTTCCTATTGGCCTCCTACACTGTACAAGATCCTCCTGTGAGAGTCTGTAATGGCCAGCATAGATAGTAACATTAATAAGGGCTACCAGATACTGAGCCAGGGGCTTTGACACTATAGCTCTGCAGAGATGTAAATATTACCATTTCCATTTTATAAATGAGGAAGTGGACAAGTTAAGGTCAAATCCACCAAGTCCACATGGCTAGAAAGTGACTGGGATGCATTTTGGAGCATTCCAGACCCCAAAGCCCACCCAAGTTTGCCGGCACAGCATTTGTTCAGCCCTCACACCCAGTCCGGCAGGTACAAGCGGTCTGGAGACCACCTACCTCATCACAGCTCTTGAAAACATCAGGCTGCTCCTCTGTAATGAAAAATACCACACAAGCCAGAAAGGGCCCCGAGAAGGCACACCTGCATGTTTTTGTCCCCAAGTGATATCCCTAACTCAGAATTCAATTATCAATGAGCTGGCACTATGTTCTCTCCCACTGCATTTCTGCCAGCCAACCGCCGGACCCTCACACCCTCCTTGACTACAGCCGACTCATTCACTCACATGTCGGAGAAACATTTGGGAAAAGCGTCCATGGCCAGGACCCGGGGCACCACAGTCAATACAAGAGTTTCTGCTCTCATAGAGCTGAGAGACAAGCACTCAGACACAGAACAAAATCACTTCACAGACAATAAAAACAAGCACCTCTCCACAAAATTTCCCATCTATTTTGCCTAGTGCCTTTTAAACAAATACATACTTCCCAGCAGTCCATTCCACGTGCAAAACAATACAGACCTGCCTCCTTTAACACAATTCAACACGTTTGTGAAGTACTTTCTGTGGGTCCAGTACAAAACTAGTCAAAACATTTCTTTCAGAAAAACTGTTTAAAATGAATAATGTTTTAAATGCACTATGTGATCTCACTGTAGGGAATAACTATACTGGTCAGTTCTTAATTTGTTTAAAACATTTTGATCGTCTGTACAGCCAAGGGTAAGTAACACCTGCCAAGGGAAGGGGGTGCAGTGCAAACAAAGTTCTGGGGCACTCTGAGTCATGCCTAACAATCTAGCACCGTGACACCCAGCCATTGTCATGGGACATTTTATTTTAGCACAATCTCAAGCTGCCTTTGAATCACTTGACCAGGAGGAGGGAGGGGGCATTCAGCCCCGCAGCAGGGCTGGTGGCAGCAAAAATGAAGAGCAGAGAGAGTAGAGGGCAGGGAGAGAGCTAGAAGAAAAGCTACCACCACTGCTTTAACCCACTTACCTGCATTTCCCAAGAACTTCCAGATTTTTCCATCCATGGGAAACTTTTGAGGTGCATACTTGTTAATACTATCAACTTTATATTTAATCAAGATTGTTTCATTTAACATTATATTTGTTTACAGAACACAAAGAAGATGGTAACATACTAAGCTCTTTGTGCATTACTCCTATTTCCTCCCACCAAGTTGGGATGTGTGTGTTATCAGGCCTAGTTCCAGTTATGCTGACAACGCAGCTGGTCACCAGGTAAACTCACTGAAGATGTACAATTAGTACAGTTTGCAAATGACAGCCTCCAAAACTTCCTAGTTGGTAATACTAGATTTTTTTAAATGTCATGACTATAAGAATCAAAGTGGGACCACTCTGGACAAATGAGCACACTGGCCAACAAGCTGACATGAGCCACCAGGAGCTGCAGGCCACCTCAGTTTCCAGGTCACGGCCACAACATAAACTCTCACTCCCAGACTTCAGTGAGCCTAACTTACGTGATTACTTCACTGAATTAGAAAAGGAAAATACACACCCATGACTTTACAATTTCTTAACAGAGAAGGAAAAGCACGGTTTTTTATCTGTAACTTGAGATTGAGAAAGGTAACACAAACCTACCATCATCCATTGGCTATATATGAATTTTTTAAGTGGAATTTGGAGTTGACCTATGAGCCTACATCAGGCCTACATCTTGATCCACATGTGAGCTTCCTGCTCACCATTAGCAATATGGGACCAGTCCACACACTAGGGTCACCTGAGTCAACGGCCTCATACAAAGCCATACTACAGGTGGTGGCGGCATGGCCCTTTGGCACAGCGAGAGGCCAGACAGAGAAGGCACTACCGAGCTCAGGCCACTCAGGCTGCTGCTGCCTACCCTCCCCATCCCTCTGTAAGCCCCTCTGCCCAGGGAGGAGCTGACACACAATTCCAGAACTGTGGCCAAGTGAAAGAAAGGGAAGAATAGCATTAGCAGTTACCACTTCCGTAGGACCTACTATGTTCCAGGCACTGTTTTAGTGGCTTACATATGTGATCTTTTAATCTTTATTTTATAGTAACCTAGGAATGCAGGCATTATTACTACCACAGTATGAATTAGAAAAACACTGGTGATATTTGAGCAATACACCAAAGGTTTGGGACCATCACTGACCTTTCCAACTCTCATAAAAGGGCCAACTTTGCACACAAATCCTTTCCCAACTCTCTAACCTCTGACACCACGACTTCTGTTGCTTTGGACTATGAGCCACCTGTACTTCTGAAATCACCTTCCTCTTTCCCTTGTACCTCAGGAAGGTCAAACTCTCACCCCTTCCTTTGCTCTCCTTTTCCTTCTATTGGAGAAGTTATTAAGATAGCTCAGGTGGAAGAGCTATGAAAAAGGATGAGCTGTGGCACTACTTAACAAAAAATCGATTTCTTAACCCGTTAACAGTCAATCTCTGATGTTATTTTTAGGAGACACAACCTGAAAACATAAGATTCAAAGTGCAGTGATACCATTATTCACATTGAAATTGTTCAGCAAAAACAAAAACAAAGAAAACCCACATACAATTTGGCAGAATACTCACTGTTAACTCTTGAATAGTAGGAATACACAGGTATTCACTGTGCTATTCTTTTAACTTTTCTGTATGCTTAAAATTTTCACATAAAAAAATTAGTTTTTAATTTCTTCCCTAACTTACTGGTTTCTACATATACAACCAAAGCCTAAATCACAAACTTTCATAACAGATCATCATTAATTTTCATTTTGGGTGAGGTTTTCCACAAAGGCTTTAGCTAACCAGATTCACATCTGCAGTAACAACCTTCCTTGGCCACAGGGGTGTTGTTCCCCCTGATGCAGGGAAGCCTACTGACACTCAGATCAACAAAGGACTTTTTCCCCAAACTATTTATTCAGGGCAGAAGAACTTGTTTACTGTAATTTTTTGTGGAAACAGGGTCAGATGGGATTCGAAGCTTGCAGCACTATTTATTAATAGCTGGGTTTGAGTTCCCCTAGGCTAGGGTCTGAACCCTTAACCTCCCAGCACTGGGCACTGTGATGCTTCCCATGTTACAGGCACTCAAAAGATGCCTTCAGTGACAATGGCAGTAAGTCAGAAGGAAATTAAATCTGAAACCTTTCTTCCTCTAGCTGCCCAACCTCAGAGCTGACAGCTTCCACATCAATCACCACGGGAGTATGAAAAAGGCCGGGGTAGCTGTGAAATTAGGCCCCAAAACTTCACAGACACTTACTTCCCAGAGTTCACTCCTTTCATGTGGTCTGTGTAAATATAGATATCGGGGATAAGCTTGTTGAGGATGCTCCTTGCAGAATCCACAATCCGGTTTGCCATCTGAGGAGATACACGCACAGAGTAGCTGCAACCTAGAGTTAAGGGTGCTGTTCTGCTCGGACTCCAGAATGGAAAGAGTCAGTTACAAAGCTAGTGAGTGCTGGTCGAACTGTGAGAAACTGGGACTAATGCCATTCTATTTTCCAAATGTATTTCATTACTTAATTTTACAATGCCATCACTCAATTTATTTGTTATTATTTTTATTTGTTATTATTGTATTATTACATAATCTTTATATTATTTGTATGAAAGGCTCATGGTGAAAAACGCAGAAAATATATAAAGTTAAAAAGCATAGAATAAAAGTTACCAACCCTGCTCCCCTAGAAATGGTTCAACTCAATTTTGGAACAAGTGAGGGCAACTGCTTCTCTGTATGGCATCGGGCAGGCTTCCTTTGAAGCATTCTCCAACCATCCCTATGACTGCAACTAACAAGTCTTTCTCTTAAGATCCTAAAGCCAGAACAGATACCATGTGAGGGCTGAACTGGACGAATCTCAATCTACCCCCTGGGTCTGTGGACAGAGAAAAGCAGAAAAAGATTACTAAAGAGCATGGTGGCTGCTATTTATAAAGATCTATACAGTTTGTTCATTTTTTTTTAAACTTACAGGACCTATTTTCAATTATTTAAGTATCAATTACTCCACCTGTAGATAATTACAGGCTTCTCATCACTGCTCCCTCATGGTCAAAACTTTCACATAGTAATAATCATCAGCACTTTCACAGCAGGGGACCCCCAGAAAGGAAAGGAGTCAGCAACTAAGTGAACAGGCTGGTGCTTAAGGAAGTGGAAACTACTACCTAAAATTAGACTTTATTATAGAGACTGCCATTCTCCAACCCCAGGAATCAAATAAAAAATACATACTGAGCATTTTTAATGTGCAATGTATGGTCAAAAGGCAGCTGCATTGGGATGAGTGACTAAGAAACAGAGAAGTGACAACATATGACCTTCCCACCACCCACGTGGCAAATCCAAAAGGGAAAACAAGGTGTATGGTCTGTCCATTTCAGTCCAAATATTCAAAAATTACATTGCACTGTGCAAAGAATCTAACTGGCATCTAGTTCCCCTTTCTGACACATCCTGAATACTTCACTAAAACATCAGTCTTCCTCATGTGAGTGAGAATCTCCCAGTAACTCCAGGCCCCACCAGATCCTGCTACCAGACCCTCCCGTCTGCTCACTGTTCCCCTCCAACCTAGCACTGTCACCTCCTCCATCCACCCAAACTGTCCCAGTTTTTCAACCTGAACTGCCTTACTCCATTCTTCCAGTCCAGAGGTCCCTCTCTCTCACCTGAAACCCTGCAGCCAACACGCGACCATGGTCTCCACTTGGACTTAACCGGACATCTCCCTTCAGGACACACGCTGTACTTGCTCACCAATGAAACCACACATCCCATAAGGAAAGGGGCTCTGCTTTTGTATCCCTCACATCTCTCTCATACACTACTTTTGTACTCAGAAATACTCGATAAATATTTGACTTGACTCAAAGGACAACCCCAAAATGAGGAAAGAGCAAAGAGGGATTTTTCAATACACACACAAAGCCCAGTTACATCACCACCTCCTCTGTCCAGAACGTACTTTTGATCACAGGCAGCCTAGACAAACAGGTCCGGGTCTCATACCCTTTGGACCAGGTGGGTGCTGTCCTTCTGAGGCCTGAGGCTGCCCACTCTCTCCAGAAAAGGACAGACGACACTATCCTGACACATAATTCCAAAGCATCCAGGGCTCCCAAAGTTCCTTTAGGTATGTCACCAACTTATTTTATGCTCATAGTAATCCCGTGGCAAGGGCCATGGATTCCTGGTCCTAGGATTTACACTGAGGGCAGCTAGCCACAGAACTAAGCTTCAAAATTAAACAGATATGACTTCACAAAGACAACCACCCTTCACCCTTCGAGAGATATGGAAACCAGGTGGGAAACTACTGATTCAGGAGCAGTGGAAGCCTGTACTAGAATCCAGGCAGTGAAGTGAAGAAAGGAAAAGAGCCTTAAAGTCAGCCACATTACAGAGTCACCGTGGAGCCACCTGGCGTGGGGTGCAGGCCCTACCAAGGAATGGCTGAGAGTTCTAGAATCACATATTTGTGTTCAAATCCCACCTCCAGCAACAGTATCATTCTGGGTGCCTGTTCTCAGTGTCTCCACTTCCACATCCGTAAGAGAAGGATAGCAGTGACACTCTCTTCCCAAGGTGCATAGGCTCAAATGAAACAATGTTATGGAAAGTACTTGGGATGCCTGGTGTGTGGTAGGAGCCCAGTGTCAGCTATTGCTTTTCTTACTGTTAGTTCAAGATTCAAATTCCAAAGCAGAGGTTCTTGTCTTTTCAGAAATCAGAGACCCCTCTGAGAATTGGATAATCCTGTGGACTCTCCCTTGAAACATGCATACAAAGCTCTGCAGACAATTTCAGTAACTTTCTGAAGCCCACTTATAAATACCATATTAAGAACTCATATCCAAGAGACAATTTCATAGCTATAGTCCATATGGAATTCCCACCTATCACCTTCCCGGGTATTCCAGATCAGAGAAAGCTAATGAGTATGAGTGAGTGAGTGTGTGTGTGTATGGAGAGTGAGAGGCTGAGATATTTATCCCTTATGTACCTTCCCTACAGTCAGAGAAAGAAAACCAGGTCCCACAAATTCCAACTCAGCCCCACCTTCTGCCTCTACCCCAGCTTCTTCATTTAACTCCTATTACCAAATCATGAGCTACTGCTGGGACAGTGCCACAAAACTAAAACAGAGTGTTCCTTTCTTCCTCTCCCTCCCCACATCAGACAGAGAGAGAGAGAGAGAGAGTGTGTGTGTGTGTGTGTGTGTGTATGTGTGGTGGGGGGTGGGGGGTGGCAGAGAATGAGAGTGGGTGGCATTAAATATAAGGTAACCACACTGTCCAGTCACAGCTGCTGGCAAGAACCAACATCAGCTCCCTCCCACGCCCTGGCCAGGTAGTCAGAGAGGGGAAAGATGTATTATGTGTGTGTGTGTTGGGGTGGGAGGCACTCAGTTAAAATCCACATGCAAAAGAGAATAGGCTAGGGCTCTTTTCTGGGGAGTAAAATCTCCAAGCTCAGCCCAACAGTTAACCAGCCTTACAAGTAAAAAACCACAAAGCCAGCTAGAGCTATTTCCAAAGGTGGGTCTTTTCCCCAGGCTCAAAAGTGGCTAAAAGGTGATCTCAATTCAAACCCACATTCCTCTGAGGTGTTTGTGAAATGGGCAGTTCTGCTGCCCAGCAGCTGGAATGTTTGGTTTGCAGACAGGGATCTGAGCAAGGACACTGTGTCAACCTCCCTGGGGAGTTGAGAGGAAGGCTCTGTAAGTTAGGTATTTTGTGTTGTATCCTTAGCCTCAAGCAAGGGGAAGAGCTTGGGAACCTCACTAGTGTTCTCCTGGCTCAGATTTTACATAGGGAAGGCTTGAAGGACACTGAAGAGAGAAGTCAGGGAGGAAGAAAGTTAGACACTGGGTGTTTAGGGCACCAAAGCTCTTTCAGCCTTCATGTTCTCCTCTGTAAAAGCTCCAAGGTTTCCCCATTTCCCAGCACCATCATCAAAGGCTTACTCAACAGGGCTTCTGCACACCCAGTACAGAGAGCACTGTGCAGCCCACACTGACAGCCTCCATGAAACCCATGTTGTTTCCACAAGACAATGTCAAACAAACAGAGCACATGATGGAAATCACATTCCAGACGACAGAGAATGGATCTGAAGCACAGTTCACTACTAAGACACAGTATCAAAGAAACAAATGAGAAAAAACAAACTGAAACAGTCCTCAAAGTGCATAGATCTCATGTACAAAGCCATTAACCATAGCATTTTTTAGCAAAAGCAAAAATTGGAAAATTACTTGGTGGCCATCAGTAGGGTTGAATTTGGGTTCTTTATATGGTGAAATACAATGCGCATATTAACAGGAATGAGGCTGAGGTATAAGTAACTGACATGGATCAAACAGAAAAGCCATATTTGGTTAAAAGAAAAACAACCCTGCCTATCCGCACAACATTTCCATTTCTCTATAACCTGTTTCTACCTCCTCAGAATCAGAGAACACTGGCATGCCTTGTTTTATCTACACTTTGCAGATACTGTTTCTGAAAGGAAGAACCAATTGATGAACCAAACTTCACTGTTGTCGTATTTTAAGAAATTGCCCAGCCACCCCAACCATCAGCAACCACCACCCTGATCAGTCAGCAGTCATCAATATCAAGGCAAGAAGATCATCATATAACAATAAAAGGGTCAATTTAACAAAAAAATATAATAATTATAAATGCATATGCACTCAACATCAGAGCACACATAACAGCAAACATAAACAGATCTGAATGGAGAAATAGACAGTAATACAGTAATAATAAGAGACTTCATACCCCATTTTCAATAATGGACAGAATATCCAGAAGGAAAATCAGTAAGGCAACAGCAGACTTGAAAAATACTATAAAACAAATAGAACTAATAGATACATGCAGAATATTCCACCCAACAGAAGCAGAATATCCATTCTACTCAAGCACACACGGAATATTCTCCAAGATCACATGGAGACACAAACCAAGTCTTAATAAATTAAGAAGGCTGAAATCACCCCAAGTATCTTTTCCAGGCACAATGGAATGAAACTAGACATCAATAATATCAAGAAAATGGGAAAATACATGAAAATTAACAAACTATTATACAAACATTGGGTCAAAGAAGAAATCAAGAGGGAAATTAGAACCTTTTGTGGAGAGAAAGAAAAATGAAAAACCCAGAACCAGATGACTTCATCAGATGAATTTACTGGTGAATTCTATAAAACATTTAGAGAACTGATACCAATCCTTAAACTCCCAAAATACAGATGAGGGAACACTTCCAAACTCATTTTTTAAGGCCAGCATTACCCTGATACCAAAGCCAAAGACACTACAAGAAAAAAACACTACAGGCAATTACCCCTAATTAACATGGATTCA